TCTCTCTCTCTCTCTCTCTCTCTCTCTCTCCCTCTACACACACACACACACACACACACACACACACACACGTGATCTCTCTCATGTATATCAAGGGAAGAAAACAGCCATCACCCTAATTCTGTCTTCTTTCAGGATAAATACTAGTAACATTGACTTCCATACCTTCTAGTCCATTGAAAAAACAAAACATACAAAGAGACCCCTACATACATTCACACATACTTTTTTTTATACTGGAGTAATACAGCTATTTTTTTTCATGTTACACTATCTCGTGAGCATCTTTCCACGTGAAGAATATTCTTCTACAAGATCATTTTTGGTGAAGGAGACCCACCTTTGCATGGAGCACCTTTCCCGCCTGTGTTGAGATGCCCCAGAGGCTTGGGCAGCCCTTCTGGGGGGTGGGGCAGCGGGGCAGGAGCTGGGGCAGGCGGCTTGGGGAGGTTTGAAGGTACAGAGGGAGGCCACAGGCTTTGCTGGCCAGTCCCTACCAGCTGGGATTGGACCTGGGCAGACAAGAATGACATTAATCTCAGGGATGATAATGTCAGGAGCCATTTGTTGAGTACCTACTGTGTGCCAGGCACCGAGTTAGGACTCCCACCCATTATCTCATTAATTCTCACAGTGGGGGTCTTAGGATCAGGTGTTACCCTCACTTTCATTTTATTTTCTCATTGTCTACTGCTTGTATGTAGACTTATGATTGGTTTTTGTATATTGACTTTATATAGAGGGTGACCTTGCTGAGTTCACTCGTTAATTCTAATGGTTTCTGTGTAGATTCCGTTGGATTGTCTATGAACCCAGCCATGGCACCTATGAAAGTGGAAGCTCCATTTCTTCCTTTCTAACCTCACCCTTTTGTTTTATTTTTCTCGCGTTACTGCGCTGCCTAAGACCTCTGGTATGATGGTGAATAGGGGTGTTGACAGCAGGCATCCTTGTCTTGTTTCCTACCTCTGGGGAGTTTTGTATAGCCCTCTCTATGGATAGGTTATTGATTTTCAATCTTTCTTCTTTTCTAATAAATGTACTTAACGCTATGAACTTCCCTTTATGTGTGGCTTTAGCTGTATCCTACAAGTTTTTTATTTAACATTTTATTTATTGATTTTGAGAGAGAGAGAGAGAGAGAGAGAGAGATTTGTTGTTCCACTTATTTATGCATTCATTGGTGTTTCTTGCATATGCTCTGACTGGGGATCAGTCCTGCATCCTTGGTATCAGGAGGATGCTCTAACCAACGCCTGTTTCCCCCAAGTTTTGATATGTTTTTATTATCTTTCAGATTAAATTGTCCATGGAGATTTTTCTCCTTGCCCCGTGGGTGATTTGAATGTGGTTTGCTTAATTTTCAAATGTTTAATTATTTTCTAGTTATTATTCTGTGTGTCTCTTAAATTTCTCACCAATTCCACTGCGATCAGAGAATAGGTTCTGTATGATTTTAACCCTCTGAAGTCTTTCGGGACTTGCTTTGCAGGCCAGCCCATGTTCTGTGTGGACTTGAAAAGAACTTGCATTGTACCCGGCGTTTCATACATGTCTGTTACATCAAGTTGATGTTGTTAAAATATTACATATATTTTTCTTTTGTCTAACAGGTGTTAAGGGAAGTGAGTTAAAATCTGCCCATATGATTGTAGATTTGTGTATTTCTCCTTTTAATCATGTCCATTTTTGCTCTTTATTCATGTGGGGAGATGCTCACAATATAAGACAGGAAAGAAAGCTCTAGTACCAGCTTCCCTATCAAGCAGCACGGACTTGGAGTGGCCGGGCAGACGGGCTCAGAGCCCACTCGTCTCGCTCTGAGTTCTGCTCCTTAACTAGCTGACTCCTGGTTCCATGGTCTGTAAGACAGGGCTAACGATACAACACCACGTGGACAGCTTGCAGACAGGCTAGGACTCCTTCCATCTTAAATTCCTCATCTTGAGCCCACACCCCCTCCAGCACCCCCGCTTTCTCCGAGACTCCCCGGGACTGTCAGACTCCCTGTGCTCAGTGTCTCTCTCCCTTTCCCTCCTCCTCCTCCCCCAAACCTTTCTTCTCAAGGTCACTCCGACCTCCACATCATTAAACCCAATAGCCAATTCCTGGTCCTCACCTTCCCTGACCAACCGGGAGCATTGACCACTGAGTTCTCCCTGCTCCCTGACACACTTTCTTCACGTGCTTCTAGAATATTTCACTCTCTCTTAATTGCCCCTCCCTTCCCCCCCTCCCCCCCGCTCATTGCCACACCTCCTCAGCCTCCTTCACTGGCTTCTCTGCAGCGACCACTGGGACCCAGATTTATGTCTCCAGCCCAGGCCTCTCGGACCCACAGAGTCAACTCTCTCTGGGCAGAGTCAGCTCTCTCTGGGCGTTCCACCGGTTCCTCTCTGAGACCAAACCAATCTCTCCCCAGGGCTGAGCTCCCGCCCGGCCCCCCTCCCTTCCCCCCACCTCCCGTGGTGGTGAGTGATGGCTCCCTCCTTCCTGCGCTCAGGCTGACTGACCTGAAACGGTGCCTCCTCTCACTGCTCGTGTCACTCACTCCCCCCGTCACACCAGCCTCCTTGCTGCTCCCACCAACCAGGCAGGTCCCCACCATGGGCCGGTGTTGGTGGTGTCTCTGCTCCGAGTGTCCTGTGACTATCCGTGGGCCACTTCCTCCTCCCCAGCTCCCTCCTCAGACGGCCCCTTTGCCAGGAGGCCTTTGCTGGGCTCCGTTTACAATTGCAACCTCCCCCGCCTCCACGGCCAACCTCCCCATCTTCCTGGCCCTATGGCCACCTGTTGGCCTCATAATCCGTCTGTCTCAGACCCCCACCCCCCATAGCCTAGTGCCCAGCACACAGTAGGTGCTCGGCCATCTGCCATATGGGTGAGTGGAGGACTGTTCTCGCCTTCCAGGTGCCTCGGATTCTGTGGGGTTCAGTGCTAGGCACAGAGTGGACACGCGGGGGCATCAGCATGTGGGGCCACTCTCCCTCACAGCTCCCGGACACCTCCCCTCCGCTCCGTGCACCTGCCTGGGCCGATGCCCTCTGTCCTGCACCTAGCTCTCCCTGCTCCTCCCTGCTGCTCCCTGCTTCTCCCTGTTCCTCCCTGCTCATCCTGCTCCTCCCACTCCTCCCATTCCTCCTCCTCCTCCTCCTCCTCCTCCTGTTCCTCCTCCTCCTCCTCGTCCTGCTCCTCCCTGCAGCAGGGCCTGCCCAACACCAATGCTGTTGCTTCCCACTCAGACCCCCAGTGGCTCCCACCGCCAGCTCCCCAGCCTGGCACCAAGGCCTGCAGTGGGGACTATGCCAGCCCAGCACAGCCCAGCACAGCCCAGCACAGCCCAGCCCCAGCCCATTCAGAGGCCTGGCCCTCTCTCCCCACCGGCACAGCCCGAGGGGGGCAGGCCTCACCACTGTTGCCGCAGGAGGGGGTCTGGTTCGGAGCCTCCGAGGCTGTCCTGTCACCGAGGCTGCCCTGCACGTCCCAGCCCGGTGACGCAGGTCACACCTGCATGCAAAGGCGGCAGCAGGCCAGGACCTGTCAGCGCTTCCCTGCCAGCAGCTGCCTGCCAGCCCCTCTCAGCCCTCCCTGCCCTCAGCCCCCAGCTGCTCCTGCCAGGGCAGCCACAGGGGCCGGTGTGGGCAGGGGCCGGTGTGGGCAGAGGCCCGTGTGGGCAGGGGCCGGTGTGGGCAGGGGCCAGTGTGGGCAGAGGCCCGCGGGGTCCTGGGCAGGGAGCTGTCCCCTGGCTCGGAAAGCCTCTGGCCACACGGGAGCACGAGGACCGGGGGCCCGAGGCCTGAGTTCCGATCTGGGCTCCACATAAGGGGCTGTGAGGCTGAGACACCCCTGGGCTCACTAACGTGTGGCGGGCAGCCCCCGTGAGCTGGACACACGGGAGGGGGAGCCACCGAGGAGCCCGGATCTGCTGCCCGGCCTGGATGTCAGCAAGGAGCCCTTCCCCCCTTCTCTCGGTGACCAGCGTGTCCAGCTTGGAGGGGCGTCACCTCTGTGGAGGTCCAGGCCTGGGTGGGCAGAGGGGCGAGGCCCGGGGCCACTGAGGCACAGAGCCCCATCACGTGCCAGGCCACGGGTGGTGGCGGTGCTCGGGGCAGGCACGACGCCCTGACAGGGCAGCGCAGGCCCGGACAGTGCGGCGTTGTAATTCCCACTGGGCGCAGGGCAGTGCCCCCATGGCCCTCAGGCGGAGGGCGTCAGGCCTCTAGCTGCCCCTGGGCCGCTGTGGCCTAAAGCCGGGGGCCGGAGTCCCGGCTGGCGCCCCTCTCCCAAGACCCACCCTCTTTCTGGCTCCGAGGCCCTTGAACTGGTCCCCAGGGCCACCTTGCCAGCCCTGTGAGTGATGCCCATGACATGAGGGTCCCCCAAGGGCCTGATGGTTTATTACACCGTTTTCATGCCCCAATACCTCCCGTGCCTCCTCCTCGCCTCTGCATCTCCCCCTCTCTTGCCTCAGAGCACCACCTGTCTCTCAGCCTGCCTCAGCAACCCCTGCTTGCCTGTTGCCAGGGAAACCACCTCCTTGGCAACCAGCCGGCATCCCTGTGACATGGACATGTGGGAAGGGAAGGCTCCTGCCTCTTGCTGAGGCTGTGGGTGGCTCTGCTCCGAGTCCCAAGCAGGGTCCAGGCTGTGACCACAGAGAGGGGAGGAAGGCGTCAAGCCTCCTTGGATGCTCATTCAACTGATGATGATTCAGCAGTTATTAAGCGCCTACTGTTTTCCAGACCCTGTGCTGGGCCCGTCATGCACAGTATCTCGCTTAATCGTGCGTTGAGCCTGCGAGATCGGTGTGATTATTCCCATTCTACAGACGAGGAAACTGAGGCACAGGAAGGTTCAGGCGCTGCCTATGGCTGGCAGGTACCAGAGCTAAGAGTTGAACCTCGTCTTGTCTGATTTCAAAGCCCTGGTTCTTTCCACCATCCCGAGAGCCCTGGTCAGGCTGCTCACAGCTGGGCCGAGGGTGTGTGTAGTCCCAAACACACACCCGGTGAGCGAGCAGCCCTTCGTGGCCTCTGCTGGTGCTGTCTCCGAGTGTGCCAAGCACAGCCAGAGGTCCTGAGACCCAGAGACTAACCAGGCACAGCTCGATGAGAGAGGACTGTGACCCCAGTGGGTGCCAGGTCATCTGTGAGTGTCGGCTGGGGTGGGCGTCACGGGAGATCTGGATGGTGTGGCTGGGTGGGACCCTCACGGTCAGGGGTTTGGGGCCAGGGGAGTAAAGGTGGCTGGCAGGAGGGCATCATTGCCGCTATGATGCCCCGGCTTCTGGGTCTGCTGGCTGGAGCCTTGAGGTGGTGTGAGGGGGAGGACGTCACCGTGTACAGGCGGCAAAGGGTGCAGTGGCTCCAAGAGAGGGAATGCGGGTACAGAGGTTGGCAGCATGTCCAGGCACGGCGTAGCAGGCGAGGTGGGCAGCCTCTCACAGACTGGCCCAGAGGGTTCTGCCTGTCCTCTGAGCTCTCGCAGCTGCTGGGCCAGGCCCTGCCCCTCTGTTCCCATCCCTCTGACCCTCACGCCGTCTCCTGCAGGCCCTGCAGCGCCAGGACTCTGAGGTCTACGCCTGCATGCAGAGCGAGGCCGAGGCCGGCAGCCCACCCCCCAGGAGGTCGCTTCTGTCCCAGGTATGCAGGGGCAGCCAGCCTGGCTCCCCTTAGCTCCATCCGACCCTCTCATGGTGACATGGGGGGAAATAGAACCACGGGGGAGCCCTGCTGTTGAATCAGAGCCTTTCCCAGGCAGCTGGCCTGAGGTTGGAACCCCCGCTCCACCCCTGACCAGCTGGCAGCCCCAGCCAAAGGCTGCCCTCTGTGCCCGAGGCTCCTGCCTGTGAACTGAGGAGCTGGACAGCACCCTCTTCACAGATGTGCCATGAGGGCCGGATGCTGTAGGGGGCCCAGAAGACACCATGGTAGCTCCCACTGGACACAGTGAGTGTCGCACTGGCCAGTCAGGCGGAGGGTGTTAGTCCCCTAGCTGCCCCCAGGCGGGTGTTGGCTAAAGTCAGCGGCCGGAGTCTGAGCTGGCGCCCGCCTGGCCTGGCCTGGGCAGGGCTCCCTGATTGTCACGCTGGGGGCCAAGGCGTTGCCCTTAATCACGATTCTCTTTCACACCTCAGTTTGCTCATCTGTAAAGTGGATGAGTGGCACTTGGCTGCAAAACCGAATGCCCCTGAATTCAAATGAGTTCCAAGTAAAGGAACATCTGCAACGGAGATGTGGACCCGGGAAAGCAGGAGGGCTGTTAGGCGGATGCAGGAACCATGGGCGGTGGGTAGGCCCCTGGGCACCTTGGAGGAGCATCAGGAAGTGAGTGGGGCTGATGCTGGGTCTCCCCCAGCACAGGGCGCCCCGGCTGGTACTGTTTAGTGAATCTCAGAGCGCTTCCGATACTAGGCCTTGACCCCTAAAGATGTCTGGGCCATTCCAGGCGGTGCCCACCCTGTGCCAGGCCTTGGGGTGCTGGCCAGGATGCTCAGACATGCCCCTGCCCTCCAGGAGCCTCGGGGCCGCAAGCATAGGGTCACGACCCGACAAACACACAGAGACGTGGTGGCCCGTCCGAGAGGTGGGCTCTGGAGAGGGACAGACCGGGACTGGGAGGGGGTCTTGGGGATGCGGAGCAAGCCCTGCAGGGTGAGTAGGAGGTTTGGGGGGAACAGGTGGGGTCGAAGGAATAGCCCAGACAGAGGGAGGAGCATGTGGGGAGGCCTCCAGGCAGCAACAGGGAGGGGAGGGGGCAGGGACAGGAGGGCAGAGAGCCGGGGGCGGAGTGGTGGGAAGAGGCTGGCGAGCTGGGCTGGGCTAGGACAGGCTTCCCTGTCACAGCCGCGCAGGAAGCATGGGCTGCTTTGCCTCTGACTGGAACTGGGCTGGTGTCGGCCTGTCCTCTCCCTACCTGTTATTTTTCATTTCTCTTCCCCAGGAGAATGCGCACAGGTTTCAGAATGAGAGCGAATTTAACCTCGTCTACGAAAACCTCTAGGACCAGCTCCGCCTGCCCGTAGGTCTCACGTGGATCAGAGGCTCTGGGCGCCCCCTCCCTCCAAAGGACTTGATCGGGACCAAGAGTGAGGCCTCGGGGCGCCTGGCACTCACCCCCACATTCCAGGCCTTCCTGCCTCGGCCTGCACCCACCCCCAGAGGCACCCACCGCGTGTTTCTCGTCTCCAGGCCTTTGTCCAAGTCGTGCCCTCTGCCCGGGGGCCCCTCCTCAGTCTTCAAGGGCTCTCATGGGCCCCCCCACTCCCAGAGCCCTCCTCACCCTCTGCGCTGTCCTGGCACCAGCGGGTACCACGGCCTACAAGCCCCCCTGAGACTCTCAGGGGGCACCTGGCAAGGGACCCTGGTCAGTGCTGTGTGCACAGCAAGTGGGAAATAAAGGAGCAACGGTGAATATGCCCCCACCTCGCTGCCCCTGCCCACCTAGGCCAAAGGCGCAAGGTGACCGCACCCGGTGACCCTGGGCTGGCCTTGGGGACAGAGCCGGAGGCTGAGCAGGTGGCCAAGTGTCTGGGGGGTGGAGCAGGGACGTCTGGGC